GACGAGGTCCGGAGGCGCCTTGTCGGCTAGGGGGTAGGGCAGAGCCCCAAACCCTCAATACCTGCAACGGCCCGTAATTCGATTGCTTGCACATGTTCAACCTGGAACCTTCACGGGAAACCCGTCTCTAGTCTTTCACCGCTTTTTCACAACCTTGCAGATGCACCCGAAATATTCTGCATGCAGGAGGTTGGGGGCTTCAGCCATTTGCAGGCTGGCCAAACGGTGACCCTCGACCTCTCCATCGGCGATTCCGAGTATGTCGTTTATGTTCATAATACCACCAAGGCACATCTTGCGACTGCGGTGGCTGTGCAGTCAGCCATGGAACCTTCCAAGCCGCGGTTTACTGCCCTCACGGCTGGTTTCCTTGTTGAACTGTTTTTGGGGACCTCCCACTTTTTGTTGGGCTCCCTTCACTTGCCCTATGAACAAAGAAATGATGCCACTGAGGTTTGGCTCGACACCTTTGAGAGCTTCACACTTGCACTGTCTTCCTTGCCTTCTTGTTGCACTGTTTTTGTTGGGGCGGACCTCAACCAACCCCTTTATGTGGAAGTGGATCACTTCCCTCCCGTCGCCCAGCTCAGGCTCCTCGCTGCCAGATTTATGCTTCGTTTTTCGGATGATGTAGGAGCCACCTGGCATGCCCGGGGGCTAGAGGCTCCCATTGATTTCATACTTTTTCGCCACCCTGGTATGTTGGGGCATACCACCAAACGCGATGACCTTAGATTGGCGCTACCTTCGGATCACGACATGGTCCAGGTTCATTTTTCGTTCTGTCGTAAGGCCCAAGAGAGGGTGCGTCGTTCCTCCAACTGTGGTAGATGGTGCTTCTCACCTGATAAATGGGCACTCCAACTGGCCGCTCTACCTGAGGAGCACTCGGCTGAGGACCTTGGCGCGGCTTTCGCTGAAGTCCGTTTCCGTCAGGCTTCGCTCCGGTACCGAGACTCGGAGGCTCTTAAAGAACTGATTCGGCAACGTAAGGTGGCTTCGGACCCTGTCCTCACGGCTTCCCTTGGCCCTCGAGATCACCCAACAAAGATGCCTGGACCAGGAGAGTCACCGTAAGGACATCCTGGAGAGGGCTCGCTCAGGCGATTTTGCGGCAATCTCTTACCTGAGACGTAGTTCGTCTCAAACCAAGGTTGCGGGGTCCTATATACAAGCTAGGGGTGGCCTTGAGGAGGCTTCGGCTGAACTGCAGGACTTCTACTACCACAAGTACGATGCGGGGGGTGCGGGACCGGACCCCGGCAAGGTTGCAGCCGTACGTGATTTGCACGCGGAAGTTCAGTGTGATCCCTTCACCATGAAGGAACTTGTTCAAGCTACTGGTAAAATTAAGAAGGGTACATCATCCGGAGACGATGGGATTCCTTATGAGGCCCTCCATGCCTATGCGGTGTCTGACCATGGGCCTAAGCTTTTAAGCCTGTTCAACCGTTTCTTGTCTGGCGCACTCCCTCTCCCCAAGTCGTGGAAGGAGGGGAACATTGTTCTCCTTCCCAAAATACCTCAGCCTAAAGGACCGTCTGATTTGCGCCCTATCGCGCTCACGTCTTGCGTGGCTAAGGTGTATTCGAGGCTCCTCCTTAACCGTCTGGAGGATCGCTTTCCACCGTTTGATGCAGGACAATTCGGGGCCCGCAAAGGGGTACAGACGGTTGACGGCGTGGCAGCGGCACATATGACCATTGCAGTTTCCAGGTATAAATTGAAGCCTGTAATCGCTAAACTGGATGTAAAGGCCGCTTTCGATAGCTTGAGTTTCGACGCCATATTGGAGTTCCTGAGACATACCGAACCTTCGCGTGAGGCCTGGCTCCTGTGGGAGCTTTGTTCGGGCTGCCAGGTCAACATGAAACTGGGCTCTAAGTCCTGGTCGGTGCCTCTCAAGCAGGGCCTCCTGCAAGGGACCGCGTACAGCGCGGTCCTCTTCGGCAGAGTCTTGGATTGGTTTCTGGGCCCACTAATCAGAACCTGGGAACAGCGGTGGCCTGATTGGCGACTGCCCTTCCTCCTGTTATACGCCGACGATGTCCTTTTGCTTGCACCCTCCTCTGCTAGGTTGCAGGTCATGACGCAGGAGGTCGTCAATTTGATGGCCGCACTGAATTTACGTGTCAATGTGGCCAAATGCTCTGTGTTAGATACCGAAGACGGGGTTGGTCACGGTATCTTCCTTCGGGGCCATTGTGCTCCTTTGAAGACTGAGGCGTCCCTTCTGTACCTGGGAGTGCCTCTGCAGTTCGACTTCACTCCCATGACTTGCTTTGGACGTGCCCTAGGTAGGTGCTCTAATACCTTCTTCGCTATGAGGAACCTCTTCAACTCGAGGTTTCTTCCTGCCGTTAAGAAGATTCGTCTTTTTGATCTGTATGTGACTTCGAGGTGGCTTTGGTGTAGTGGTTTGGTCTGGCCCACCAAAGTCTCCTTGAGAAGCCTTAACAGTCATCAGACGACACTGCTGCTGGGGCTCCTGGGCTTCAGGGCTGACTTTTTTGGGGAGTTTCTTCACAACGTGGTGGCCAAACGGAGGGCGGTTAAGTTTGTTTTGCACGCGCTCAATCTGGAGCCTTGGGACCGAAAATGGCTGAAACAAGTCTGGCGTTATTGGGGGCACGCGGCCAGGAACCCCGTCTCTACCCCCCTAAAATTCTTGATGCATGAGTATGGCAACATGGGGCTCATGGCAGGCAGGTCCATGCCGGGCTGGGTCACGAATATCATCCCCCGCAAGCTCCAGCTTGTTTTCGCGGAACTGAGAGAACCCTGTCACCCAGCATTGTGGGAATCTGCAGCCTTTGTTCGCCCGTTGTGGCAGAAATTGCTGGAACCCTGGTGTAGACACTGGGGCCAGGGCCCTCCCTCTACCGACTTCTTAGGCCGGCAGCTCCTTATCATTGACGGCTCCGAGGCTGTACTGAGGCCCTTCAGGTTTTTCCCGGAGGAGACCTACACTTTTTCGGTGTGCACCATTAAGGGGGTGAAGACATTGCCCAAAGGGCCGCTTCTGTGGTGCTCCTTTGGATGCTGCCGGCGTCTCAGTAGTTGTGGTTCCTAGCTCCAGGTCCCCGGCTGCATCCTTAGTTATCCAGGAACAGCACCCCGCCGGTTCCGAGTCTGTTCTGTCGAGAGCCTTGCGCCTTTGGAATCTTGTCGGCCTGATCCATAAGATCAGCGGTGTTCATATGGATGTTCAAATTGTGGTTCCCCCAGAGTGCGTACGCAGCACTCTACTAAGTGGTGAAGTCACCTTGGCGACCAAGACCTGGCATGCGGCGTTTGAGGCTACTGTTTGAGGCTCAGGACATGCGATTCGATTTGTTGAACCGCGCAGTCTTGTGGAAAGGGTCCGACAAACTTCCAGCCTTCCTTCAGTCCCTCCCCATCGGTCCTTTTCCTGTGGCGTTTACGTCGCTTGTGAGAAATGGGGACTTTGGGTCCCCGAGCTTTCTACACAGGAGAGCGGTTTGAAGCTTTGGGCTGCTTTGCTTCCCTTGTGTCTCTGCTTGCAGACCTGAATGGGGGGGGGGGGCCAGGTCGGACCAGTAATTGGCGTAGTCACTTGGCTCACAGGAACCCTTGGGAACTGAACCATTACAAAGCATTTGTCCCAGGAGTCATGTCCTTTTCCCGTCTCGCTCCTCCTCCGCCCCAGTCTTTGGATCTGTGTGACTCATCGTCAGATGATGATGACTCGGTGGTCTGCTTGTCGTCTCAACCTGGAGTAGCTGCTCTTCTGGACAGTGATTCCGAGGATTCAGAGTGCAGGACCCCTAAAGCCAGAGCTTCGGACCCTCGGTACCTGCAGCGTCACTTAGGCTTGCCAACGGCTGATCGGCGTGACCGTCCGATTGAATCGAGGGCTTTCCATCTCCTTAGACGTAGCGAGCCACCGTGCAAATCCGACATCCTGGCGCTCTTTGACCTTCTGCCTCGGAGCGCTCTGAAACGCGGTCCTTACGGTAGGTACGTGGTCACTGGTGCCTCCCCTAGGAGTCGTGATGATCTAGTCTCCTTCTGTCATCGCATGCCCCTGCTCACCCTTGCCCTAAATCGCTTCCTACGAGCCCATGCACCAGAAGCAAGATACTCTACCCTCGTACTCAGGGAAGGCTGTGCATCAACTCCGCACAGGGATATCCGAAATGGGCCCACTAATGCTTGTATTTTCGGGCTGTCTACTTCGGGGACTAAGGATGGGATTTGGGTTCAGCATTGCGACGGGGATGTGTGGAAACCGTTTAAGGGACAGATGTTGCCTGGGAGAATCTTTTCCATTGACAAGCCCCTGTTTCTGAACACGCGGAGGGTTTTACATGCTGGGCATTGTGCCACCTGTACCGTGGCTCGGGGGAGGTCCAGGGTCATAGCCGTGGCTTTTTGCACGATTCATGTGTCTACCTTCGCCAGAGAGTTTTCGGAGCAGCTTTTGGATGTTGGGTTTCCCCTACCCACCCCACACGAGATCCAGCTGGCCTCGTCTCAGGGAGTTACTGAACCGGCAACTCGGCATCGACAACTTAGGCTGCCAGAAGCTTTTGCGGAAAGCTGCCACACATCCAACAGGAGCGCGCCCCTTGATGCTGCTACGTCTGTCCTTGTCGATGTTGATGATGAGGTGATGGAGACCCTGATAGATGAGCCCTCTGTCGACCTCTGATTTAGTCCTGATTCGCTGTTTCCTTTTTCCTGGACTTTTTGGTCTGTGTGCAAGACGCTAGACCTTTCGTCGGCTTGCTTTCTCTGTCTGTCTTTTCGTCTCGTCCTCACTCGTGAGCTTCGGGTCGTCCTTTTCCCTCCTTGTCCCCTTGCGAATGACTCCTGGAAACTGCTTTTTAGAGAAAGTTTCGTGTACGCACTCTATGCCTTTACGCATGGGCTTTCCCTCGGGTGCTTCTGGGCTTTGTTTCCCCCTAGACCTGAGACCCTGCCCTGCCATGGCTGCTGCGTCTCTCCGCCTCTGATTTCCTGGCTGGTGTCCCTTCATGGAGCTCTGGCTGAACCAGGATAACCTGGAGAACTCCCTGGGGACTAGCTGTGGGTGGCTTATACTGGCCATCGTACTCCTCTTCACGGGGATTGCTCGCCTGTCTGGAATTTTCTGGGGCCGCCTCACGGACATCCGCCTGGGTCTGTCCGAGTTGACCGATACTTGTGCTTTATTGGGGTCACAGCTGGAAGCCTGGAATGCAACTCATGCGGAGACCTTCAAGAGTCTCGAGACGAGCATCCTGGCTCTGCTTCAAGACCACCGCAGGGCGGTGGTGTGTGAGCCTCAAGGTTTCTTGCAGCCACTACTCCTGGAGAACTGGAACCGCACTCGCCTGGACATCCTCCAACAAATCCGACTGTTGGGATTAGAGCTCCAGGATATGAGAGAAACGATGGGCAACCTCATCAAAGTTCAAGCTCTGATACGAAAGTCGCTCATCCCCGTCACCACGGATACTCCTGGTGATATTCGTGAGATCAACGGGCACCTGACCATGATCAGAGAAGGTATCGAAATGGATACTCAAGGCTTACTCGGAGCAGTTCAGGGTATGGAGGAACGACTGCAACGTGTTCGTCAAGAACTACGGAACCAACCCACCTTGCATCCGCAGTTTCAGTCCGAGGTCCTAATGCAGCTGTCTGTCATCCGTGCACAGCTTAACATGGGCACACGAGCCGATGACTCGGTGCTGCCAGGATCGCCTCCGCCATGGGCTTGATTCTCCCCCTAGCCGCTAACGATGGCTTCGCGGGATGATGTTTTCTTGCTCCCTTGTACCATAACTGGCACTGGTACTGGCACTGTTTTTGGGCTCGACCCCACCTTTGCACTCTCCTTGCGCACTGCCGAAAATAGTGACAGGGCTGTTCCGGGGTTTTTTGTGCATTTGTTCTTTTGACGGAAGCTGCATGTTGTGTTAAGCGCTTGGCTCCATTCTGCATTCGCGCACGTGAACCATGTTCGACTCTTGGGAGCTGGACATAGTCCAACCCCCCCATCTCCGGCCCTTTCTTCCCTTTACTGCGGAAGAGCTGGCCGGTAGACTTAACGAAATGCCTGCCTAGGTTGCTTATTGGGTTGCGGGTGAGGTTCGCTTCTGGATTCATAATTGCAGGTTGTCTTGGTGGTGGTTCTATTCCAGACTGCTCCCCCTTCAGGTTTATCTTGAAAGCCTTGATCGTGTTGCCTCCCAATTCCCCGCCCTCCGACCTGAAGCCGCTATTGAATGGTTCTGTATAGGGGAGGAGGCCCGTGTTTTCGAACTTGAAGTTGTTGAATGGACTGGACGTATAGACTGCACTGCTGAAGCTATAGTCTGGGAAAACACGGGCATGCATCTCCCTTGTTGGATCATTGTACTTGGTCCCTCCCCTATTGAGGGCTTAAACGAATGATTCCCATTTGCCTTGCTACCCTACCTTGCTTTTGCTGAACTGCCCTGCCTCCTTGCTGCCCTGCCTTGCCCTCCGAACTGTCCTTTTATTTTTCGGGCGACTTAGTTCCGGGTACTATTTTTATCTTATATATATACCTATGTGATCTGTTGAGAGAGTTGAGAGAGTTAAGTCGCCCGGGTAGCTCCATGGCTGCACGTATGAGCTCTGCACTGCTGGCGCCTTGGCAGCGTTTCTGACAAACAGATGCGACAGAACGACTGCCACATGTTCTGCTCTTTCGGGAGTGATATGCCGCACCGTGCCGGCCTTATCTGGAGTGCAATACTATTTTGGGCACAACGCCACAGTGACATGGGGTCGGAGTGATGCGAAAGTCCCCAACGAGACCTGGGAGCCTCGGCCTGACTGGGTCCGTACAAAGCCTGCCACTGAGAGCACCTTGGAGGGAGCTTAGGCTCACCCTCTGCCGTGAGCCTAGTCGGGTCTTACAGTTTTTCGCAGAGGGCGCGAACCCTAGCTGCCTCTCCAACGGGCTATGAATTTTTGCACGTGACAGAACATCTTGTCCGCCTGAGCTGAAGCACCTGAGATGAAACAGGACTGATCCCGCGTGGTTGGGCTATTTCGCTGAGGTCTCTCTTGTGAGTCGGGCTTTTTACGGAAACTCTTTGTGCCCTCGCTTAATTGTTCTGTTCCGAAAGGGTTACTCTTAGGTTTGCTTGGAAGGCTTCTGCAGACTGTGAGTCGTTTGCGTGCACATGAGAGCATGAGAACAGTGTTTCGCCTCTGCCCTACTATGCATTCCTGTGCGAAACACCTTAAAGACGCTTCCGCCATAGATTGTGTCTCTCGAGACCTGCGGCCCCGCAAACAGTTCTGCTAGGTTTGCCTCCTGTCCGCCATGGATCCTCGCAGCGACCTCACTGACACTCCTGTGGAGACAACGAGGATGGATCCCCCTCCGGTGGGCATACCTCTCCGCTCTACAGTGCGGGTGGTTGAGGCTGCGCAGCACCCTCGTGCCTATCAGGAAGTGCTCCCACCTCTCATCGCGGCGTGGGAAAAAGGAACATGGCTCGCGAGTCCAAATGGTGGACTCTCGTGGGTCCTCTTGGCATGCTTTGTCTTTTACAACTGCTGTCAACTTCTTCGCCATCTCCGTAAAGGTGTTCCCGGAATGGAGACCTCAACGAAGGTGGCAAAGTTGTCTGAAGCCGCGGCAAAGGTAGTGGAGGCTCCTTCGGCGCCTGTGCCGGACCAAGGACCCACTCCAGACATGGAGACGAAGACCGATGATGACCAAGGCGATGGGCCAGCTGTGGAAGCTGCTCCTCCTGAGGAACCGGCTCCCACCACCTCGCCTTCGTGCCAGGAGCCGGTGAGGACGGACGCGACCCCGGGCTCCAAGGAAAGCCTGCAAGAGGTCAAGATGTGGGTGGAAGACTCGGCACACTCTGCTGCGTCGAGAAACAAAGAGCACCTCGCAGAAGCTCTTGCGGAACTCCGACACATCCTGGACAGCAGCATCTACTCACAGCCACGACTTGAAGCTGCAATGAGAGAGGCTTTCGAGCCATTGCAAGCCACCTTGACGCCTTCGCTCAATGGGCTCAAGAGCACCTTGGGACCTTACCCGGAGCATGGAGTTGACATCCGACCCCTTCGAGAGGTCATTTTGGGCGCGGAAGACCTTGCTCTGCGGGCCCTTAAAGAGGTTGAAGACTCGACGTGGGACCAGAATGGTCGACTCAATGCCATCGGCACCCAAGTCGGCACGGTTGGAACAGATCTTAGCAAGGGACTCCAGCATGCACACCGAAAGCTGGATTCTATACACACCGCCCTGGGCAACCGGCCTGGAAACAGCTCGGACGGTGGGGGCAACACAGATGTCACCACCATCCTGGTGGCGGTCAAGGATCTCCAGACCGAGATGAAAGCCCTGAACCAGAACATGGAGCAGCTTCAAACGAAGGTGCAGTATGTGGAAGGGCGAATGGAGACGGCCCTGACGAAGTTAGTAGTTGTGGAACAGTCTACCAACAAGTTGGCAGCTGCTCGGCCCAAAGCTCCGCCCCCGAGTTCGCCGGCGCCGACTCTGCCTACGGAGGAAGCACCGCTTCCCCCACCAGCACAGCCGCCGGGGCAGTGGCAGCCTCCATCGACGGGGCCCATGGCGAACACCTCTGCGCGCCCGACCTCGATACCGGCGCCCGCAGTGCGATCGGCGCCACACGTGCAACTGGTGCAAGCCGGGACCCCGGGACTTCAGACCCATGGAGGTCTCCCAATGACCGCACCTGTGCCTCAAGTCACGCAGCCGGCACAGCAAATGCAGCAACAAGTCTCTCCTGCAGTACAAGGAGGGATGAGTGGCTCCCAGACCGGCGAGATGGTGAACTTGCTTTGGAACGGACAGATCTTTCCAGTCCCTGCAGCAGCTGTCCACCAAGGATGAAGAAGCCCAACAGGATGGCTTCATGTGGCCACTGAGTGGCTCCGGATCATAGCGAGTACCCTTCGGGAGTACTCAGACAGTGAAGCCTGTCCTTTTACTTGTTTTTAAATTGGTTATCTTTTTGGCTACACTGTTGAGACTTCCCGAAGATCGTACACCTTTCCCCTTTTTGCCCTTTAGGGGTTGTACTGTATTTTTACTTGCACTGTTTTTTAATTCCTTGCCCTTCGCACTGTCGCTTTTGCACTGACTTCCTTGCACTGCTTGCACTGCCTGCCTTGTTCTGCTCTGCCTTGCCTTGCTTTTACAATACGGGGTTGTTCTGTTGACCTCACTGCGGGGCGAGGCACTAGGCTCCCTCAGGCCCTTAGGCCTTCAGATGGACCTAAGAAGGCCCACACATGTTCCCTTTTTCGGACATCCCGACGACGAACGGGGCCATGTACATACACAGGCAACCGCTCTACAATGACCTCTGTTGCCCGTGAAAAGCAAACGTGGACGCATGAGGGCACATAGATGAATGCTGGATGTTGGTGGTGGATGATGGGTGACTTTTTATTTGCTGAGTTGCTTTGTTTTTGCCCCTTGTTGATGGTGCTTTGTGTTTTGCCCTTGCCCTCTTGGATGTGCTCTGTATGGATGGATGCTGCTGCTTACCTTCGGTGATGGTGCGTGGGTGATGAGATTATGCAAGCCCCTTCCCCGCTCCTCCCCCATCCTGCCCATGAATGAGGCTGCAGCAAGGTGTATCCCTTGCGTCGGAATCCGCTGGGTTCGCATGGGGTTTATCCCCCTGTCATAAGGCCTTTAAGGCCGCCGAAGGAAGACCTCCTCCTTACGAACTTCTGGGGGTGTAGTCCTGTGGTAGCACGCCATGGCATTCGTCTGATCTGACCTGGACTGACTCTGTCTCCGCCGAGCAAACTCCCTGGTTAGGCCCGAGATGACTCTCTTTCGAAGGGCCATGGGAGGGCCGGTAACTGGTAGTTCTATTCTGGCATTCTGGCATCGGCTACAGCTTACATGTTTTGTTACCCTTGTGCCTGCATGCACAAAAACTGGTATGTCACGAAAGTTTTGACAGCCTTCCTACATTTGGGCATGGCGCCTGCGCGAAATCTGGAGGGGATATCATGCTATGGCATTCATCTGACCTGGGTCGACTTTCTCTTCGTTGAGCAAGTCTCCCTGGTTGAGTCTGATGAGATCCTCCGTGGAGACCCCTCTTTTGATCTGCCGTGGCGAGATGGGTAACTTTTTCTCCTGGCGTTGGTATTGGCTACAGCGTACATGCTTTACTGCCCTGGTGCCTTAGTATACCAAACTGGGGACGTCATGAAAGTTTTGGCAGCCCTCCTACGTTTCGGGCATGACAAAGCGTGAGCAAACAGGCGATGTTTTCAGTTTGCGCCCACCATCGATGACATTGGTGGTCGTGTGTCCGACCATTGCCTTTGGGGAAGAATTCACAGCTGGAGTCCGTGCTGGCCCCGTCGGCCTTCTCTTGGACTGAGCTCGAGACTGCTTTCTGCCGAACAAGCCTGCCGAGCAGGCCTTGCATTGCGGAGTGCAAACATGGGCTTCCCAAAATGAAGTTTTGCCGACACTACACATATCTCCTGCCAAAGATGAGATGGGATGGTTTGACCTGCAGGGAACGTCGTTTTTGTTGCCTCTAGGCTGGACGCGAGAAGTCACACGCTGGGATCCTGACAAGTGGGGTCGTCTCTGACTGTTGGGCGAGTGCGTCGATTTGAAGGGCATGAGGTTGCATCTGAGTGAGGGCCGGGTTAGTGCCTGCTGCTGTGGGGCTGAATAGTGAACGGTGGTGCTCGTGTGATGTGCTGTGCACTTTTGGCACGCTTGAAAGTAGCTGTCTTGACATACGGTTGAATCGCTGTCTTTGTTAACGCCATTTGGGTCTGTCCCAATGAGGGCAGGCTGGTTACTTGCGAAAGCTTTTTTAGTCCGTCAAACACCTCGTCTGACTTGTCGAGCACGAGTGACAAAAATATGTATATATGTATATATGTATATATGTATATATGTATATATGTATATATGTATATATGTATATATGTATATATGTATATATGTATATATGTATATATGTATATATGTATATATGTATATATATATATATATATACATATACATACACACACTACACACATATACACATACATACATATATATATATATATATATATATATATATAAATCTGGTAAGTCCAACAATGCCATGATGGCACTTCATTGCATGCCTGATGGCCACCACAGCTTGGGCTAGAATTCACCAGGATGTATTTTGACTCCCTGCTTCGTGTACTCAGCCATGCAGGAGGCAAATTTATTTATTGATGTATTTATTTATTACATACACACGTACATCTTTTTCCGTTCGCGCCCTGAGACAAGCAGGCAGCAAGGGAGCAATTTAGGCAGCGTGCAAACAGGAATGGCAACAAGCCGGTAGGCAGCGATGCTACGATTGCCACTACGACGACGAGGGAAACGATTTGGAGAGATTTGGAGCCACTGCTACCGCTGCTGCGACGTAGTTACTTCTCCATGCGTTGCTATAGTTGGCGCTACTACTACTACGACGACGACTACTACTACAACTAAGCCATGCAGGAGGCAAATACTACTACTGCTACTACTACCACTACTATTCCTACTGCGACTGCTACTGCTACTACTACTACAGAACGCATCCACTACAACTACGACCTCTATTACTATTACTACCACTACTGCTACTACTACTACTGCTATTGCTACTGCTACTACTACTGCTACGACGACTACTACGACTGGTCCTGGTACTGCTACTGCTACTGCTACTACTATTACTGCTACTATGTCTATCTATTACTACTACTACAACAACAACAACTACTGCTACTACTACTACTACCACCACCACGACGACTACTACAACTACTACTTCTACTACAACCACCACGACTACTACCGCTGCTGCTATGCTTCTACTACTACTACTACTACTACTACTACTACTTCTACTACTTCTCCTACTACTACTACTACTACTAATACTACTACTTCTGCCACCATCACTATGTTACTACCGCTACTACCACCAGTACTACTCCTACTACTACTACTACTACTACTACTGCCACATTACTTTTGCTGCTACTGCTGCTTGTACTGCTACTGCTATCTACTGCTACTGCCACTCCTACTGCTACGGCTGCTGCTACTGCTACTGCTGCTACTACAGCTATTACTCTTATACTATCACCCACAAAAATTATTGTTACTAATATATTACTACTACTACTACTGCTGCTGCTGCTGCTACTACTACTACTACTACTACTGCTACTGCTACTACTACTACTACTACTACTACTACTCCTGCTAGGAGTAGTAGTAGGAGTGACAAAAACTACTCCTACTACTACTCCTAGCACTAGCACTAGCAGTAGCAGTAGCAGCAGTAGTAGTAGTCGTCGTCGTAGTCGTCGTAGTAGTAGTAGTAGCAGCAGTAGCAGGCCCACAGTGGTCGGTGCGCCCAAGATCTCTCTTGGAGTTTCGTAGCCGTAGCCACTCACTCCTCTTAGGGTTCAGGGTTTCGCATTTAGGGTTTGGGGTTTCGCGCCCACTCACTCCTTTTAGGGTTGAGGGTTTCACACCCACCAACTCATTTTAGGGTTGAGAATTTTGCAGCCACCCGCTCCTTTTTGGGTTTGAGGGTTTGGCGCCCACCCACTCCTTTTGGGGTTCAGGGTTTGGCAGCTACCCACTCCTTTTGGGGTTCAGGGTTGCGCATTTAGGGTTTGGAGTTTCGCACCCACTCACTCCTTTTAGGGATAGGCATCAAAAAAAATTAAATTTGGATCAAAAAAAATTAACCTAGCCGAAACCACGACAGGAAGGAAGGAAGAAAGGAAGGAAGGAAAGAGGAAGAAAGGAAGGAAGGAAGGAAGGAGGGAAGCACGAAAGGGAGGAGGGAAGGAGCAAAGGAGGGAAGGAGCAAAGGAGGGAAGGAGGAAAGAAGGAAGGAAGGAGAGAAGGTAGGAAAGAGAAAAGCAGGAAGGAAGGAAGGAAGGAAAAAAACAAGGAAGCAGCGAAGAAAGAAAGAAAGAGAAGCAAGAGGGAATGAAAGGAAATGGAAGGAAAGGAAGGTGATCACCCACGAGCCATTTAACTGCAAACTGCCCGCTTTCTTGAGTTGTCGAGCCACATGAAATCGCTTTAGGGGGGTAAACCGAGCAAAACAAAGTTCATGTTGGAAGGTTTGCAAATGGGGGGGGGTCTGCGCCGCCCCCCCAACCCCCCCGTTTTCTTCTCACGAAAGAAACGTCTTCACCGACAGGCAAAAGGGCGAAAGCCAGACGTGCTCGCTTTGGGAGGGCAAGACCAAGAAAACAAAGTAGAACGAAAACGCGCATCTCTTTGGTTAACGGAAAGAGGGAGAGCCACATGAAATTGCTTTAGGGGGGTAAAAGCGAGCAAAGCAAAGCTCATGTTGAAAGGTTTGCAACTGGGGGGGAGCTGCGCCCCCCCCCAACCCCCCCCGCTTTTTTAACTGCAAACTGTCCGCTTTCTTAAGCTGTCGAGGAAATGAATTAAAGACGTTTTTTCTAAACGCACAACAAGGACAAAGCCACACGAAAACACTTCAGGGGATTTAAAATTCGAAGAATATAAGATTTCTCATGAATGAAACGTCTTGACCGACAGGCAAAAGGGCGAAAGCCAGATGTATTCGCTTTGGGAAGCCAAGAGCAAGAAACAAGAAAACAAAGGTAAAACGACAACGTGAGTCTCTCTGGAAAACGAAGAGAGGGAGAAGCCACATGAACTGCTCACTTTTTTAACTTGTCGAGACACATGACATCGCTTTAGGGGGGCAAAAACGAGCAAAGCAAAGCTCATGTTGGAAGGTTTGCAAATTGGGGGGGGCTGCGCCCCGCCCAACCCCCCCCCGCTTTTTTAACGGCAAATTGCCCGCTTTCTTAAGTTGTCGAGCCATATGACATCGCTTTAGGGGGGGTAAACCGAGCAAAACAAAGTTCATGTTGGAAGGTTTGCAAATGGGGGGGTCTGCGCCGCCCCCCCCAACCCCCCCCCTTTACTTCTCACGAATGAAACGTCTTCACCGACAGGCAAAAGGGCGAAAGCCAGACGTGGTCGCTTTGGGAGGGCAAGACCAAGAACACAAAGTAAAACGAAAACGTGCATCTCTGTGGATAACGGAGACAGGGAGAGCCATATGAAATCGCTTTAGGTGGGTAAAAAACGAGCAAAGCAAAGCTCATGTTGAAAGGTTTGCAAATGGGGGGGGGCTGCGCCCCCCCCACGCCCCCCCCCGCTTTTTTAACTGCAAACTGCCCGCTTTCTTAAGTTGTCCAGCCAAATCAAATCGCTTTACGGGGGTAAAAGCGAGCAACGCAAAGCTCATGTTGGAAGGTTTGCAGATGTGGGGGACTGCGCCCCCCAACCCCCCCGTTTTTTAACTGCAAACTGCCCGCTTGCTTAAGTTGTCGAGCCACATGAACTTGCTTTAGGGGGGTAAAAGCGAGCAAAGCAAAACTCGTGTTGAAAGGTTTGCAACTGGGGGGGAGCTGCGACCCCCCCAACCCCCCCCCGTCTTTTAAACTGCAAACTGCCCGCTTTCTGAAGCTGTCGATGAAATGAAATAAAGACGTTTTTGCTAAACGCACAACAAGGACAAAGCCACACGAAAACACTTATAAGATTTCTCATGAATGAAACGTCTTGACCGACTGGAAAAAGGGCGAAAGCCAGATGTATTCGCTTTGGGAAGCCAAGAGCAAGAAACAAGAAAACAAGGGTAAAACGACAACGTGAGTCGCTGTGGACAACGAAGAGAGGGAGAAGCCACATGAACTGCCTGCTTTCTTAACTTGTCGAGACACATGACATCGCTTTCGGGGGGCAAAAGCGAAGTACTGATTTAACCTTTTTGATACTGTTTTTAATTTTTGGAGTCCTTGTGGTTTTTTGATCCACATTTAATTTTTTTTGATCCGTCACCCTCGATCACCCCTTGTTTTTTGTGTGATTCTGTGTCGGAAGTACTGATTTATTTTTTTTTGATCCAATTTTTAATTTAGGGTTTCGCAGCCACCCACTCCTTCCAGCATTTAGGGTTTCGCAGCCACCTACTCCTTTCAGGTTTCAGGGTTTCGCATCTACGGTTTGGGGTTTCGCGCCCACTCCGTGGTTTGGGGTTGAGGGTACGCAGCCACCAGGAGCAGGCAAAAGAGCAAGCAAAATGCAAACGGCGCGCACGCAGAATCCTCGAGACAGTTGCCTTTTTTCGACGCGAGTGGCTCGTCCGCGCATTGACGTTCTCCGACCATGAGCGGAATAGTACGCACTTGCCAGCAAATCGAGGCCCCGCCCGGATCCGCAGACCCAGTGCGCGGGCAAACCGGACTTCGCGAGCAGCAGCAGCAGCAGCAGCAGCAGCAGCAGCAGGAGGAGGAGGAGGAGGAGGAGGAGGAGGAGGAGGAGTTATTATTATTATTAGTAGTAGTATTACTAACAGCAGCAGCAGCAGCAGCAGCAGCAGCAGCATCAGCAGCAGCAGCAGCAGCAACAGCAGCAGCAGCAGCAGCAGCAGCAGCAGTAGTACCACTGGTAGTACTGGTGCTGGTACTGGTGCTAGTGCTTCTGCTCTCGCTCCTGCTACTACTTTCCTGCTGCTATTCAGGCCAAGAAGATCAATCACCAACAACTCCTCTTCTCCATTGTCGTTATCACACAATGACAAAATCAACGATGACTGTGATGAGTACGACAGTACTACTTCTGCAACGGCCGCTGCTACGACTGCTGCATCTGTGGTTTCGCAGGGCATGTGCCGCATGTAACGCCAGCAGTTTCAATATGTTTCAATGGTCTCCATCAACTGCCCCAAGACTGGCACTTGCCCTGGAAGGAAAATGTGCACGGTCAAAGGGATGGTGCGTCTGCGGTGGGGCATGTCGGGACTGGCGTGTGTCGTGCATGAGACTACGCGTTGTCGCAACGGCAGCAGGTGTTCGGTGTAAGAAGTGTGGAGCGCAACAAGGATGTGGTGTTGCCGGTCCGTGAAGTGCGACCTGCGATGCGAAAAGTGTCAACTAGCGCAATCATCATGTGGCAAGACCGGTCCGAAAAGTGGAAACACACTAGATAGAGAAAGGAAACTGCCGAACACTCCTCGCCGTCGTCTGCCGAACGATCAACTGAGATGCAGCTCACAAGTGTTTCTTTGCGTTGCGCGACGCACATCCGAGCCAGGCTCTGCTGCTGTGACCCCGACATGTCAAAGACGCGCGTTTGTCCTGAAAGCCTCGGCCTGGCCACCACATCTACCCATGAGCCATGAAGGACATGATCTCGACCGCACAGCTTCCCGCCTCTTGGTGGTTAATGGGGTGCGGTCCAGCGTATTTTGCAAGCACTCACGTGAGCTGCATGCGCTTCCCATGAGTCCATTGAGGTCAGTTCCGTTCGCGATGCGGCAACTCCTCTTTCATGAGATTCAAGGGTAGTAATTATAGTAATAGTGGGTAGTTAATGAATAGATGAGAAGGCTTAGTGGTAAAGATTCCATGCAGTGCACGTGCTTTCGCAGGTAGCTTTCATCTGTATTTGTCGTGCTGGTCTTCTTCGTGCTTACCCGTTCACATGTCGACAGTCCTTATTCACCCTAGAGGAGATAAGGAGGTCTGTGAGCATCAGGTAATTCTTCTGCAAAGCCCGGGCAGCGGCGCAGGACGAGAAATTGAACCAGCACCTTGGAAGCATGAGCGAGCGGTCATTTGTGTCAGCTTGAGTCCGTGTGCACTTCAGTGCAGGCAGCAGGAAGTTAAATGGTCGGATGGCTAAGGATGAGTTGCGAGAGATTGTGGCTGAGCTGATAGCTGCATATAGCGACCCAGATCTTCAAAGGAAGATTAGAGACATCTACGAGACTCGATTGCACCGTCCGCTGGAATGTTCGGTCGCAGTTTGGTGGTCGGTTGCCCTTCCCTGTGCTTCGACTCGGCCAGCGCCATGCTGGCATCCGCGCTTCTCTGGCTTACAATGCCGCACATGATTGAAAGCTGAGGCCTGCAATTGTGTAGCTGTTGCTCCTCTAAGAAGTGGTGAGTTGCTTTGTTCTTTCGTCCGCGGGGTTCGATCCTAAGGAGAAGCAGAGAAGAGCTCAGCTTCAGGCCAGTGCTGCAGGTGTCGCTTCGGAGGACCCCAGACCATGCCCCCTCTGCAGCCGAGCAGTAATGGCGCCGAGTGTTTTCCGCCAGGATCACATGGCCGAGCTTCGAGAACTTTTGTGGCCTTGCCAGACCGACACTCCGCAAAGTGCTCGTCATTGTCTTCGTGGTAGTGTCTTTGTCTTTTTTCTCTCCCAGGCTTCTTTAGAACAGAGCTACTCAGGACATTGCCGAGGCCTACGGGCTGCCTGGCACCACGGAAGGGCTACAGCGTATCCAAAACTCCGTGCAGAGACGAATCACCGAAGGTGACATCGAGATCAGATGCTGGGCTAAGACGTGAGCTTTCGATGGACCTGCTGCCCAGTAGGGCGATTCAGCCATGTTCGTGCCGCCGCAAGTGTTCGCCTTGCTGAGGATGCCTGGCTGATGAGGCGCTGATGCTGATTGGCATGAGCCCTCTGCAGAACATCATCCAAGAGGTGAAAGCTGAGGCCGGCATGGCAGAAATCCCACTTAGCCTCTTGCAGCCCTCTGAGCTTTTTCATCACACGGATGCACTCTTGGACGTGGCGACTGTTCCATGAGGATTTCTTGAATTGTATATATGGAGCTGCTGGAGAGACTGGGATGAAAGTTCAGGCGAATCTCTCCAGATAGACCTGGCAGAGTCGCAGCAGCCGAGGACAGCAGCGGCACCGAGATAGAAGAGTTTTTCCTGAATCTTCGCTGCGAAACCCCACTTGCCACTTGGACGGAGAAACGTAAGGAACCCATACTGAACCGCCTTTGAACACGGAAGATATCAAGAAGTCTCCAGATGAAGATGTTTTCACTGTGCGGTCGTGCAGCCTCCGCGTGCTACCGAGGAGAAAGCAGTCCACAGCTCAGCACAAATGCTTTGACAGTCATATTGCTTCAATTGTCCATCTGGTGGTGGGTTCAACCTTGCTGCTTCTCGTTTGCTCCAGCTGTGATTGCTGAGAGGCACGGGCTCGCGGTTTGATGGCGGCTCGGCGCCTCAAGGAGGAGCGGAACCCTCCGGGCGGCCTCACTTGCGGCAACTCTGGCTCATATCAGCCTGTGGAGACTTCGACCATCTTGCCGTGCACGTTTGCAAGTCCAAGGATTGTTACGTACTTGGGCGGCATACGAGAAGAGCCCTGGCAGAACGGTTGTTGCGGAACCTCGCATTTGCCGAATCCCAGTTGGAGGTTCAATACAGCAACCGATCTCCAGAAGTGTAAGTTGTAAATTGAGCATAAGGGACTTCCGACTGTAACGAACATGGAAGGCTAGGGCTGGCGCCTCAGCACATCATCAGCACGGAGCCGCCGCCTGTGGCGCGACTCAAGAACCCCACAGCCGCCCAGGCAGGCTTAGTTGTGATCGTGCCCATGCTTGTTCAGGCTTTGGAAGAAACATAAACTTGTACTTCACGGGTTGCTGCCCCTGCAACTAGAGAGATGCTGGTAACCACTCTTTGCGCCATGAAGCCGCTGCGCAGGTCTGGGAGTTTGCTGCTTGATTGCACCATGCTGGTGTTCTGAACACTACGGACCATCGGATATTGCACGAAAGGTACTGCGAAACCAGCCTGTCATCATCGAGGGCGCATGCAATCCCAAAGACTTCCCTCCAGCCGCCGACTTCGCGGACCCCGCCATGAGCCATTCGCATGCTATTAGCCAAGAGCTAGGAGTGGCCCAGTGGCCAGAACATGTCAAAGTGCGGAGTGTGTACTCGGCTCTGACCTAGCAAATCTGGCACACAGTCGGATGAGACTTTCGACCCCTGCAGACTCTGAGCAGGATTTCGACTACTTGCGAGCCCGATGTGGACATCGCTATGTCAAGGTGAAGGGCGATTCTTGCTGGGACAACAAGGGGCGACAGCTGTTCCTCAACGACCCCACGATTGAAATCTCTGTGTCCGAAACTCGGCCTAAAGCCCGCCCGAGTTGCAAATCTGTCGAAGGTAAACACTGGCACATATCACTTACTGTGGTAGCCGCTTTCCTGGTCTTGTGCTGTCCTCCGTGTTCCTCCCTCCGACCTTCTCTCTCTCTCTCTTGTTTTCTCTCCTGCTTTCCTGTTTCATCTCTCTGTTTCTGTCTCTTTCGTTTTGCTCTCTTTCTCCGTTTCTCCTCCCAGCCGCCTCCCAGTAGTGAGCCTCTCCCTTCTTCCCGCTGCTTGCGTCTTTGGATGCTCGCAACGCGACGCTTCGAGTTGCGACGCCAAGCCGACACGCCGGTTTCTGCTTGAAAACTGTGCAGTGAGCCTCGACGAGCGGCAGCCTGCAGCAGTTCCAAGCACGTTTTTTTGTTTCAGTCTTCGTACTTCGCGAGTTTTGGTGATAACATGATGGGTTTCGTGCGCTCAGGATTATTTGGATCTGGTAGAAGTTGCCGAAGAGCACGAGACCTGCATCTCCTGGTACATGGGGAAGCTGCCACTGCACACAGACCTACCAGAGCTTTTTGAGGATGCCAGCGAACATAGCATGTGTTTGCGAGGGCATTAGAGCGTTGTTTCGAGCTCGCACAGGCTGCAATGGCGAAGGCTATATGTCCTGATGAAGCCTTTTGATGCCCGTGACAGGACATCAACAACTCTCCGAATTCCCCGTGGCGAAAATACGGCACCTGCTTTGGAGAGAACAACAAGGGAGTGCACACCTATTTCGGCTGTGGTGGGAACACCACTTGCATCCATTCCGATCCATCGGAGAATCTGTTACTGGTTGTGATGGGTGAGAAGTTCATGGACATCTACCCACCTTGTGACGCAGCCTGAGCCTTGCTCGAACTTAGCTGAGGTAGCGGCGGCAGCTTTGCCGTTCCAAGTCGAAGCCCTCGTTGAACACCCAAGCCTAGGTTTAGGGGGGGTGGCGGGTGCGAAGTTGATGCATTGCAAGGCATGCACACAACTGTGAAGAAGTTCCTCAACTCACTCGTACCACCCTTCATCGATCCGAACCACGTGCCGGAGGAGGCCAGCCGTGGCTCTACCACTTGTCGTGGTTTCGAAAAGTGGAACACGCAGGTTTCTGCGAATCAGCGGTGTTTCTTGAGCTCAAGTGCAGGTTGACAAGAACTGGGGCAACTACAAGTATGTCGCCCGGCAACACGGAGCCTGGATGTCTGAGAAGACACGAGAGAAATGACTCACATGCAGCCCCTTGTCTCTGCGATTAAGCTGCACAAGGCACAGCCCCAGAAGGTCCACCTGAAAGCTGGAGACCTGCCACTTGCAATGCACCCAGCCATGCCCGGTCCACTGACCGGCTTGTTCCGTGCGACCGGTTGGACTCGGAGTTTCCGCAAGCATGTACCATCCCTCCAGCCTCCGCCAGCATGTCCCAGGTTTTACCTTCCAATCTTCTGGTGGCACTCCGTCCAAGGCTTGCAATTTCGGGTTGTGCTTTGCAGATAAGCATGATGAGCATCTTCCCGCTGGCAGGCTCGATTGGGAGGAATATGATCCTGAACTGGTGGTGCCTCCAGCACCCCTACAAGGATTCTTGCTTTGTGTCATCGACAAGGGCTGGCGCCAGAATGTCCCGTACCGAAGGAGCACAGATATACAGGCTACGAGGGTGCCCGCGAGGTTTTGGAAGTTCTACAGCACCTGAACGAGGCCAAGGGCCGGCCGAGAGCGAGAGCTTGTGGCAAGTGGCACTAAATGAGTCCATTTCCATTGGTTTCTACGTCGTGGCGCAATCGCAAGGCCTGGTCCTCCAACGACCCTTTGGCTGCATCTTTAAATGTTCAGAGGCTTGGCGGGAGCTGCTGGCATCTAAGGACAAATCGGCAGCAAGCGCTCAGGAGCGCTCAGTGGCCCAAGAGCTGGGAAATGGCGTTCTCTACTCCGACTCTATGTGTGCGGCGAGCAACAGCTTCCAGGTCAAACTTTTCTCGGGGTTCTTGGAGAGGGCTTACGATGGCTGTGTTGATGCCACCGAGGCTACAAAAAGCTGGTTGCGCCACCGGTCCCAAAGTCCGTCTCGCAGGAGATCCTTTTGGGCATAGGCGGCATTGGCAGAAGCCCTGAAGCCATCGGAAGCCCGCAGAATCGCAGACTTGTGAGGAGAACCGTGGCATAAACCTGAACTCCATGTCACTCGGGCCGACCAAGGCGGGGAGCGAAGTCTTGTGTCGCGCCTAGGCCCAGGCCTAAACTGCTTAGGAGCTACAATACAAGCAGGCAAGATTCCTTACTTGCATTATCTATACTTTTCATGATCCTTCCTTCAAGATCATATCCTGCCTGGTGCTATCTACATCGGAGCAGAAAGGTCGAGAGACGCCACCCGCCAGGCCTCTTCTGGATCTGCGCCTACAAGTGGCTTCCGATGGAAATCGTCCCGATGACGCGCGAGGTGAAGAGTGCGAAGAGCACTCCCTTCGTCGAAACCAGTGAGCTGTCAGTACCAGCTCTCTTGTAGCGGGACATGATCACATGCTAGGCGGAGGACTGGACTGTTTGGCTGTTGAAGCAAGGCATGGCAAGGCTATAGGTCCCGCATGTTTACAACTTACACTCTTCGAGTCCGTCCTACAGTCCAGAAGAGGTCGCTCCACGGTTCACAACCTACGCCTTGTGGACAGAAGGGACCTGGCCAGGCAACAGGAAGAAGAGCAGAAGAGTTTCGGAGAGGCGGTGCCCACTTCAAGTTTTGTCAAATTTGGTCTGCCTCCGATGCTAACCCCAAATTAGACGCGAAAATGACATCGAATGCACATGCCGCTGCAAGGAACGCCGAAGTTACGGTGGTGTTTTATACAAGTGCACGCCGGAGACTCTTCTGCGGGTTGTGATGACGACATTCGAGCTGGCTCGAAAATCATTTCATTCTTCCAACATTGCTTGCAAGTGGCTGCCAAGTGAAAGTCATACGGACACTGGGGACAGTTTTTGTTGCAAGGCGCAGCACCTTGCAAAGCAGCTAAGCCAGCGCAGTGGTAGCTCAGACTCTCAGACCCGAGAGGCGCGTGCTGACTTTAACGACTGCACGTCGGCACTCGTCGAAAAAGGTGAAAAGAAGGAGTCGAGAGCAGTGAGAGGGCCGGCTGTGTCAGGCTTTCCTAGGCCTTGGTAGGATGCTCCATCTTTTGGACACACACACACACACAGACGTCTGCCCATCTACTCCCGCTCCTTGTTGCTCGATTGCCTGGGCCGTCTTGGGCTCCGGAGGAATTCGCGGACCCTACGGGGTGGTAGTGGCACAGGCAGTTGCCCTGAGGGCCAGTGCCTGCGGCAGACCAGAGCCAGGCGTGTGCATGCCGAGTTCGAGCATGTGTTCCGTTCGAGCACGGACCCTGGCAGGGTCGAGTCGACGCTCCTCTGGCACCCTGGAGGCTGCGAAAGAACCAGCTAACCAGCCGCTGCTGTTGCTAGAGAGGACCTTGCGGTGTGCCTTGCGAGGATTTTGGGGTCAGCGAGCTAGCAACTCCAGAGCCGAGTTGGTAATGACAGAGGCCCATCGCATGCCGGCACCTGCGCAGACACGTAGGCTACCGTAGGCTGGTGTGGTAGGCGCCGGTTGCAACAGGCCGATGCGCCAGAGCAAACTGGCACAGCCGAGCCGACGACTTTCAACATCGAGGAAGCCACTTCCTCCGCACCGTAGTGGGACCCCGCTGACAGCTGACAGGACAGGGTTTCTTTCAAGTTTTATGAGTTCGGCCTCTGGATCACATTACAACTGGATCAACATCCTGGGGAACATCACCTGCAGCAACGAAAGCCTGCAACGTGTTGGCAAAGGTACTGCAGAACAGGCTGCAACCCATTTGCACAGCATCTGTGAAACACAAGGGAACCCAAGTGAGCGAAGCTGCAACTGGTGCCGTTTCTCAGTGCACATCTCAGGCTTTGGAGTCTTTCCTTGCCGATGTGCCGCCTTGCTGCAAAGCGGGTGATGACAGGGTTGGCACTGAGCCTTTTTCTGTCCCAGCGGAGGAGCTGCAAGGAGCTGCGGCTTCCGCCTCTGGATCCCGAGCAGCGCAAGCAGGCGGGTGCGGCACGCCGGACGACACCAGGTGAGACGCCTGCCCGGCAGGCGAAGAAGCTGGCGGAGAAGTATCCGGAGATCAAGTGCGAGAGCTATGGCTTCGGCGAGGAACGAGCTTCGACCGCAAGACGCACCGAAGCTCCGCTGCCCTCGTGTTAGCGACCGTCGCAAGGTAGGCTGCATCTCTTCAAGTCCTCTGCAGCTCTGAAAACCGGCCTGGCAAAGGAAGGCATGCAGAAAGTGTGTTTCTTGCATGTTGCATGATGCGTCGATGCCGAGCATGCTGCGATGGCAGGTTCGCGGGAAGTGCAGCGAACGGAGTCTGCTTCGGATCAGTCAACAGCCGTTTCAGGCATGCTTGCTGGCCGCTGGCCTCTGCCCAAAGCCGCACGCGGTTCCTGCATTGGGCCAGGAGCAACTTCACCCGACTCTGCAGAAGACGCTGCCGGCGGTGTCTTTGAGGAGCGGTGCAAGCGAGCAGTAGGAGTTACAACCACGTCACCTGGCAGGACGTCGCGGCACTGCCATCGAACCTCTACCAGGTCAGGAACACTTTCATCCACATTGAGGCAGGGCTAGGGGTGGGTATGTGGCACACTTGCGCTCAATCCATGGCATGTGGGAGGAGCAGGGCGTGGCAGATCAGCGCAACATCCAGTCCATGCCTCACGGCATGCAACCCGGCTGCAAAGCTTGTCGGGCAATTGCATTTCTCGGCTTTCGTGGGTAGATCTTTTTCTTGAAGGTTTCGGCAGCGCCTACAAGAAGAGGCCACGCAAAGTGCGCCAGGCCGCGCTACAGGTCCGTCCGGGCCTGCCACCGTTGTGGCATGCTGTAGAGGGCTGTTGCGTTTTTGTGGTTGCTGTTTGACGGCCTTCGGTCAGGCCCGGTTCCGGAGTCAACTTCGGTGACACCTTCCATTCCGGAGGTCCCAGAGGTCACGAAGGTCAGCGCCCGCGCAGCGAGAAACTCGCGTCTCGGGCGGCCGTGTGCCAGGACTTCGCTCCCGGTACAGAGGTGGTCATCGAAGGCCGGGACACAACTCGAAGGAAAGCAGTGTTAGCAATGGCACCACACGCAAGGATTGCAGAAGTTTCCGGCTTTCAACGGGCTTCGCGGCACAGTTCAGCTGCTGGACAAGACAACAGGTCGTCGGCTTCTCAGTTAGGTGCAGAACTGTGTGGAAGGTGGAGAGCCATGCCGCCAGGGGGCAGCGGGGGGGGCTCCCGCGATTGCAGGCTACAATGTGCAGCTCTCTTCTGCCGATGGGCCCCTCGAGCAGATCGCGAAGATCAGGGGTGACAACCTTCGAATGCGGCTCGGTGCAAGCATTTGTGTTTCGCATGCGAATCTGCCGAGCGGCGCCTGCTTGAGGTTGGTGCCGCCGCCTCCACCATTCGACCCTCGGCATCTTGCGCCTGTGTGCAGACGGTTCCGCGGTATAGCTCCCGTTTCAAAAACCCGAGGAGTCCAGCGTCACGGCCATGGACTCGGTATATCTCGGAACGCTGCGACTCTTCGCTACTGGTGTGGAACCCTCACCCTTTGAATCCGGACTCAAACCGAGTCAGGTGGTGTCCTTCAAAGTGCAGCCAAGGTCAAGGTGGAGACGCCGTCAGCAATGCATGCGAGGCTCCGCGCGTGACACCAGGAGTCTAGACATCCTGAAGATTTCTCCGACGGCAAGGGCGCCCGACTTCGTGCCGATGCGGCAGATGGGCTTGACAAACATTCCGCCCAACCCTCACTGGCAGGAGAAGCAGCGGAACATGCTGTCAAAACACGTGAGTCCGTCTAACTTGTCCACGCCGAAGAAAAAGCAGCCGCAGCCAGCTCGAGTTGACATGCAGGTGCAGTTGCAATTGAATTGCGGGCATCGTTGAGTTTGCAGGATCCCCATGCGGTGCCTCCTTTGTACACAGAGCCTTGGCAACGGGTGCATGTCAGTAAAGGTTGGCGACCACAGGGTAGCTATTTGTAAGAGAAGTTTCAGTGGGCACGGTGTGGGCCTGTAGGTCAACAGACCAGGACGAGTGTAAGGAAACGGGTGAGCCCCTGCATGCCCCGAGAGCCGAGGGAGATCTTCACTGCCAGTACGACCCGTATGTGCACCCAGCACATGCGCAACTTGTCCGTAGTTTGCTCGCTTGCTGGGTTTCGAGAGGATTCACCAAGGGGATTCATTTGCGGGATTTCTGGGGCCAAGCATGCTTGAGCAGCAGTGTCTCGCGGTCGGAGTCGCGTTTCGATCGCCTATCGTCATCAGTCGTTCCAAGCATTTTGATGGCCTGGTTTCTGAGAGACTCCCTGCTGGATGACTGGACAGGTATCCTCCGCCGGTTCCTCCTCCTGTGAAGTACGCAGCTCGCTGAACTTCACAGTCGTATTTCGATCACCGAATTTGAAACGGCACCTCGGCATGCGAGGAAGCAATGGCTGCCTGTGCGATTGCATGTGCATCTTCGGAGGACTATCTGTGCAGCAGACTTGTGAGTTCACGAATTCGAGCCTTGGCTTCAGTGTGCGGTTGTCATGTGGTCGGCTGCCGACCTCAAGCACTTGAAGAGCTCAGGGGCCATCACGCCCATGGAATCCGCTCTCAACTTGATTCAGAGCTGAGCCACGTCGATAATTTTTTCTTTCGGGGCTGAGTGAGGGTGCCCGCGATTTCGCAGTTGATCCAGTGTATGTAGCTCGCATGGAAGGGCTTTGTGATTCAAGTCCGGCCCCTGCCACAGCGCTCGAAGCCACGGTCCTCGTTTGTGCCCATCTGGTCGAAAAGCTGGGCTAGGCCGGCACAGGCCAAGACCCTGGCACAACTAGCTTCGGGTTACTGATCGCGGACACTTGAGGATGCCCTGACGCCCACCAGTGGCGTGGGTGCTGCGTCAGTCTTTCACGTATCGTGGCAACGGTAGGACGTAGGCGTCGCTGTAGCTGGCGCAGCAAGGGCAATTCTAAGACCGTCCGCAAGGATGCGGGAGTCTTCCTGAGCCACTCGCAAGGGCTAAGGCGGCTAAGGGTTTGAAGCTGTCTACGATATTCTACGATGTGCCGCTGTTCTAGGTGTATGGCCCGGCTCGGGAAGGCTTCGGCCATCCTCAGATCCTTGTACTCAGGCGCTGAGTCTTCGTTCAAGCAAAGAGGGCATCGGCCGCTCCATGTCAATGTCACGGATGCATGAAATTTTTGGAACCACAGGCACAGATGAAACGCAGGCCAGGCTCAAACACCACGACGTTTCTTGTTGTCGCTTGGCGAGGCCATGTGGACCAGAGGCAAAATTACCTTGAACTCTACGCATGAACGCTGCAGCCAACCTTGAAACTCAAGCTTCTCAGCTTCCAAGCCAGTCTGGCTCAACTGGCACTGCAGCACTCAGCCCATTCAAGGTGCCAAAGTTAGCCAGCCAGTAGGATTTGTCGCCGGGCCAGATTTTGGCCACTTCTTCATGTGGCACAGAGACGCAGCAGTAGAGTTGCCGGAGCAAAGGCAGTCCGACATTGTCGTGAGGGCGTGCGATCGCCCTTCGTCCCAGCCTTACACGTATGGTCTAAGACTTTGAGTCATTAACTCCGGATCTCAAGCAATTGTTTGTTTTTGAAAAAGTTGGGTACGCTTCATAGACCCTGTACATTACGAACGTGTTTCGTGTGCGTTTGTGTCATTGAAGCGCCTTGCGACACCGACACGCTCTTTGCCAGCAGTGTCTTTTCGATTAAGGCTGCCATCATGGATGCCGTGATTCACATGTCCCTTTCCCCGATTCCGCAGTCTTGTACGCACGTCAAGATGAATTATTGGCCGACATAATCTCCTGGACACATGCCTAAGCATCAGCTATCAGCTGGAGCTGTGACAGTAAGCTGATAGAGTAATGGGAAACAGACGAGTTGGAGTGTGGGCTGTCAAATGTCGAATACGATGGCGCAGCAAGCCCATGGTGCGAAGTGAGGATGCCACCATGCTGGACAACCACCGCTGCACAGCGTAATAGCTGAGTGCCAGGACAAGTGCCAAGACGATTGGTGACACTTCCTATAAGGATTATACGAAGATGTCTTCTAGAATGGTGCAGGAACCTCAAAGAACGTGGCTTCGTTTGCGGAGTATGTAACCCCCCTTTAAGAAGTTTTTTTGGGAATCTGAAAAGAGTACCATCAGAGTCCTGTTTGCCAGGATTCTGATGCGGAGCGAGGGCCCCCATTGCTTGAACGAACCCGCGAGTGCGTCAAAACTTTCGTCCTGCCACAGTAGAGCAGCATGAATCGACAGGCATTGGCTCATTGAGTTTAAAATTCCGGTGCTTGCTCAAGGCTTGTGTCCGTGAGTCCTGACAAGTCCCTAGTGCACCGCCGTCCGTGCTCTTTTGAATGTTTGTCTTCGCCAAAATTGGCTGCTGAACCTGAAGACGTGCTTCTGCCTTTGCGACTGCCGCTCGGAATCTGGCAGACTTTCCTGAGCCTGGAACTGCTGAGCGGCCTGTGTCGATGTAACGGCTAGTTAGCGGTTAGTGATCCAACATGATCCAACACGGACTTTGTCGACGGGAGATGCACAGGCAGCTCAGGAAGCCCAGGCTCAAGAAGCAACCTCACCGAAAAAGCGACCTGCCGGACAAGAAGAATTAAAAACAAAGGATCTGGAACCTGTGGGAGCTTCCTATTGCTGGTAGTTCTGAAGCAAACAGCACCGAATGACATCTGCCCCTCGAGGTTTCAGGCAGGGGAGCCTCGGGCCTCGGGCCGACTGTACATAGGCCTCCGGGCAGACGGTCCAGGCACTTCCTTGCGCCGGCGCCATGCGGAGGTTCCGAAGAGCCCGGAGCGGCACGCTCTGCATCTTTGCAGCGGCTGTGCTGCTAGAGGCAGCCAGGCATCGGATGGGTTCCGGCACTGGCACGAACCTCTTCGTGCTCCCGCCCCAGACCCTGAAGGAGTCGGTCTCTCAAACGTTTCTCTGCAGATTTGGCCATCGACAAGTCTCTGCGACTGGCACACATGTCGCTGCTTTGTTCAATCAATGCCAACACCAAGGTCCACCGACTCGTCTACAGCTGCAACGACAGCCAATTTGGCAAAAAACATTGTCGGGGCTGGGGTGCTTTCCCTACCATCCGGAGCAGCAAAAGTTGTGGATGCAGCCTCTAGCTCTGGAGTTGGTAGTCACGACATGATCGTTACAGCGCTGGCGCTCCTCTACCTGGTCTTCGGAGCTCTGAACGCATACGGCTTCTATCTCATCGGCGAGGTGTGCGAGCGCACCGGGGCTCGCACTTACCAAGAGGCCCAGAACCTGCTATGTTGCCAGTTGACATCAGTTGACCATACTCGTAGCTTGCTCGCGACCCTAGGTCTCAGAGTCTTAGAGCATGTTGCAACAGGCATGGACGAAGACGCTCGGAAGTCGGTTCGCATGGATGCCAAGCGCCGCATCAGTCATCTGCAGCTTCACGGGGATGGTCGCATGCATCGCAGTGCTAGGAGACACAGCGTCTCAGATATTGACATCAATGGGCCATGTCCAGGATGTGATGCCAAAGGAGATCCTGGTCGGGGGGATCTCATCCCTTGTCCTCTTTCCTTTGTGCTTGCTGCCATCGTTGTCACCTTTGGCTTTCGCCTCGGTTCTGGGGCTTCTCGGAGTCACCGTGCTCTCTTTGGTGATGCTCCTGCGCTGGTTTGACGGGTCCTACGAGCTCGGAGGTAGCTTCTACAGTGATGCCAAGACGACCCTGGACTTGCTGACGAAGACACAGGCTCCATCAGCCCAATCTCCAGACGACCTCTTGTTCCAACAGGTCTGCATCTTCGCAGCGATCCTCTCCAATGCTTTCTCGGCGCACTTCAACGCCCCTGCCATCTTCAACGAGCTGGAGCCGCAACCAGATGCAAATGGCAGCAGCCGTCTCCCCCAGCTGGCGAAAGTGACCGCAATGGCCTTTGCCTTGTCAGGCCCGGGACCCGTCGGACCCGTAGGAGCATGTGTGAAAGTGTCCGTGGCACTTGGGTCTGAGTTCCATGCCGGGGCAGCTGTGAGGCTTCATCTTCTGGGCCATCACCATGGCAGGAGTTGAAACCTTTGGCGCTCAAGCAGGTAGGGCTTATCGCTTATGGAGCCACTGCAAAACTATCAAGTGTGAGCCTGCTCTACACCATGCTGCACCCCTGTATAGATGCTTCCATCCTCAACAGCTACTCTGCTGCTGATCCCCTGGTTGCCGTGGCGAGGGTGGGCCATGCTCTCAGCTCTGGGCCGTGCCTGGGATTGTTGCAGACGCGTCCTCCGTCCGAGGCCTCGGTCTTTGCGTGCTCTTTGAGTTCCCGCTTCTCGAGCGCTGCTTCCGCCAGACGGCCGTGGAAGTCCTCAGCCTGCCAAAATGGGTCGAGCAGCACGTGTCTCTGCTGAGCTTGGCGACAGGCCTTGAAACGGTACTGAGTCAGACTTAGTCTGAGGCGCTGACGGTTGCAAGCTCCGTCGGCCTCTCCGTGGCCCTGGCGTTCCTTCCTGGCTTCGGCTTAGACAAAACCTCGGCCTTGGGAGGGGCCCTTGGCGTGCCTCGCAAGCAGACCAGAACAGACCTGCGCGGCCCACTCAACCCATCTTACTCCTGAGTCAAGGCACCAGGCACTTGTTTGGCCTTGTGTCGGGTGGGGGCACTCATCGTTCAATTTCCTCAGGCATCCTTGCTCATCTACATCGCCCCAGCCTTGATGGCCCTGAACCTCAGCCCAGCGAAATCACGTCAAGGAAGCCCAGCTGTGCGGTTCTTTAGATTCAGAGTTGTCACGAAAGCGAGTCCCGCGAGGACTCAGCCGGAGTTTTGGTTGACTGAGGGACCCTCCAAGATATGGAACCCTACCAGGCCCTACCCTCATTGCAAAATCAACCTTGTCTGCTTGATCGGTCAAGGGGGCCCCGACACTATATCTCAGTGGTTTCGGGGACGTACAGTATTCAAATTCAAATCTGAGCCCCTCCAACCTCTTTAGGCCTGACTCTTCCAACTTCCAATTCGGTAGCTCATCGCTATCGCTGCCGCTACTGCGGTTGCAACGTTGTCGCCACTGCTACATGCTCCCGCTGCTGTTACTATTATTGTTGTTTCTGCTTTCTGCTGGTCCCCCTTCTGGTTTTTCACTACTGTTACCAACCAGGCAAGCCGGAGCTTGAATGACAATTATACCACCACCACCAGATTTCTAAACCCTCCGAGAGTGAGTGCTGAAAGGCCCTGAAGCCCAAACAAAGCTTCGACGTCTATCTTATCGTAGACCTCAGCCGCTCATATGTCTCCCTGCTGCCAACCCCTCTAGTCGTCGCCGGCAATGCCCCGCACCGACTCTCGCCGACGAGCTCTCGTCCAGCCCTC